GGTCATAGGCCACGGTCGAACAGTGTGTGACATATCTTTTGAGTTTCAAAAATGCTGTGATATGGTAAGAAGTGCCAAACACATGTAAATCTTAGAGAAATTACCACCAAGGATCAGCTTTTATGAAGTCTAACTTCCTAAAGGGTCCCCAATTGAACGCAGAAACAAACTCACCCATCCTTATACCCATTCTAACACCCATCCTTACACAGCTATATTTGTGGGGTATTTCCTTTGTTCTCGTGTACAAAACTCCCACACAACACGCACAAAATTTCAAATCACTCCAATTTAAACCAAATTCACTTTCCTGGGTTGAATTTTCGACCGTATGTCCCTCATATAAACACTTCAATTTGCGACGGATTTTTACCCATGAAAAATTTCTTCTTTTTGAGTTATTTCCAAATATCAGTTTCGTGAAATTCTTGTCGGGTACCTCAAGGTAAAAACTGGCCTTGTGGGGTACTTCCCATTGTTGCGGTACCCCACAACGCTCCATGTATAAGCGCTCACATACATGTGTGCACACTGTTTCTGCCTACTGGGCATATAAGCTTGCTACGCCCACATGAGTACCTAAGTTATACTGTCATCTAATTATGAAAGTTTCCCAGTGTAATAGAAGGTAACAGGAGCACTTTTTTAAGAATCAAACCAAGATGCATGACCCAGACTTTCCTTTCTTAAGTTTTCTTACTTCAACTACATTGAGAGATGTAGATCCACATTACTTTAGTTGACTTACGAGTACTGTAGTAGACAAATAAAGACACGACCAGACTAGTTTCAATAGTTCAGTCCTATTCAATCTTCAAGTTATTCCGTAATCTTTAGAGATGTAGCATTCACTTTGCAGTATAATTCACTAAGTAACGGTACTCCTGTTCACTATCTGTCAATTGAGTCAATTGCAAGCTTCTCAGTCATATTTGGTGAATAAAGTCATGGTAAAACACATTGCCAACAGTGTTGTAGTCGAGACCACTTAAGACCACACGAGACCGGCGTAAGACCACACGAGACCAGCGTAAGACCACACGAGACCTCCAGTCTGAATTCAAATCACAAGTTATTCAAATGAACTGGAACAAAAGAATTCCTTTGTCATTGTTCACATTGTTACTTGTGCGTAATCCTTTGCGTGGTCTTGTGTCTGGTCACGTGATAGTCTTAACTCCATTATTAATTGCCAAGATTCATGTACCCGCTGCCTTCACAGCAACCACAGACAATGCATGTCCATACAGTGGTAGCTCCCTTCATCTATAATGGGCTTTGCTGCCTTTGTTCCTTGACGTCTAGGGCCCAAACCATGCTGTATCTACGGCTTGTACAACAGGTGCTCATGCAATTGGAGATGCCTTCAGGTTTATCAGAAATGGAGATGCAGACGTGATGGTTGCTGGAGGGACTGAAGCTTCCATCAGTCCCATCGCTATTGCTGGATTTGCTAGGTGAGTTGTTGACCTTGTTGGATTAGTGCTTAGCCATGAAACTTGGTGATCTAAATTTGGTTGAAACTACACCAGCCCAGTTAAATCACCACGGTAGTTTGCACACATCACATTGTATCAATTAAAGTAGAGAATATAAATGTGTTATTCTGACTCTGTTACATCTACATGTAAGTCCATATTTTTGCTTACCAAAACTACATGTACGTGAGCAACATCGGGTGTTATTTTCTCTGGTAACCAAATCTGTCTTAAGCAATTCATGCTGAGTTCATGGTGATGATGTATTCCTGCGTTCTTTGATCTCACTGGGCTAGAGTGTTGAGTAATCAGTGCTGAGTGCTGAGTAGGTCCATGTTGAAGTATTCCTGTGTCCTTTGATCTCACTGGGCTAGAGTGTTGAGTAATCAGTGCTGAGTGTTGAGTAGGTCCATGTTGAAGTATTCCTGTGTCCTTTGATCTCACTGGGCTAGAGTGTTGAGTAATCTGTGCTGAGTGCTGAGTAGTTTCATGTTGATGAAGTATTCCTGTGTCCTTTGTTTTTACAGGGCTAGAGCACTGAGTACCAATTTTAACAAGGCACCTACGTCTGCTTCTAGACCATTTGATAAAGACAGGGATGGCTTTGTCATGTCTGAAGGAGCTGCTCTGGTTGTCTTGGAGGTATTCACTTCACATAGATTTACACACAAATATTAGAAAATAGCGTGTAATCCCATTATATACAAATACTTACACCACCAAATAATTTTGGACCAAATTAGAGGATGACTTAGCAAAATTCGAGAGTACTATCACAAGCGTTATACATCAGTAGATTTGTCTTTGCTGGGAACTTTGTTTGCTTTGTACGGTACGCTTTTTGTGGGCTTAGCACAAATACTGCATGTTCTTAGCAACATTATTAAATGAGCACTTAGTGTAATCAGCACTTAGTGCAATCAGCACCTAGGGTAATCAGCACCTAGTGCAATCAGCACCTAGGGTAATCAGCACCTAGTGCAATCAGCATTTAATGCAATCAGCACCTAGGGTAATCAGCACCTAGTGCAATCAGCACCTAGGGTAATCAGCACTTAGTGTAATCAGCACTTAGTGTAATCAGCACTCAGTGTAATCAGCACTTAGTGTAATCAGCACTCAGTGTAATCAGCACTTAGTGTAATCAGCACTTAGTGTAATCAGCACTTAGTGTAATCAGCACTTAGTGTAATCAGCACTTAGTGTAATCAGCACTAAGTGTAATCAGCACTTAGTGTAATCAGCACCTAGTGTTATTAGCACTTAGTGTTTATGCTGCAAGCAACATCCTTGTCAAATTGATCAGAAGGTGCCATAAGTGGAACTGAATACCAAATATATCAGTACAATGGTTCTTACCTTGACAATACACACACTCCCGCAACGTACATGTGGGGACATACACTCAACATTTCACCTATTTTGTGGGGACCAAAAATATTGTGGGGACTCAGAAATGTCCCCACAACTCAGTTCGAATTTCCCTGGCAAAAGAACTTGTCCCCTGAATGCAGTGAATGCCTACCCATGTCTCCATAGATGTGTGTGTACAGTTGGATGGATTGATAAGGCATGGTACACATTGTGTACATGTTAAGGCATGTACCGGCAGTCTGGTGGTTATGATTAGGGATAATCATGATGTACTTCCTTGGGTTCTAACTATGGTTGATACTTGCACTTTATCAACAGTTGTACTTGTAAATTAATTTGATGTATTTTGGTTACAAGATCTTGTCTACAGCAAGTGTTTGGTTTGATGATCATACTGATGTTTACACTTAGCTGGCATGTTCACCCAATAATAGCTATCAGCCAGACTGTTGTATGATTAAAGCCTTAGAATGGCATAAAATGACCACCATACATGAATGTTTCCACCTGTGTACATGCAGATCCACCAATGAGTATGTACAGTACACTGCCCTAAATATCCCTGCCTGCTGCCCACAAACCGCCCACATCTGCCTTAGGATTGTACAGTTGTGTTATTCATCGAGAATAAATGCAGTGGAATTCATGTGTTTGGGGTTGAACAGAATAGATTTCTTTTCAAGTATTTATGGTTTGACTTTGAATCTGTCTGTGTTTTTCATTTTTCCAAGGAGCATGATCATGCGTTAAGTCGTGGTGCAATTATTCTTGCCGAAGTCCTCGGATATGGCCTGTCAGGTAAGCTGACCCAAATTATCAAGGTTTGAAATATCAAAGAAGGATACAATGAAGAGTTAGTTGGATGTAACACTAAGCTTTGATCAACCAAAGTTTGACCCGTATTCAGGGCTTTGATCAACCAAAGTTTGACCCGTATTCAGGGCTTTGATCAACCAAAGTTTGACCCGTATTCAGGGCTTTGATCAACCAAAGTTTGACCCGTATTCAGGGCTTTGATCAACCAAAGTTTGACCCGTATTCAGGGCTTTGATCAACCAAAGTTTGACCCGTATTCAGGGCTTTGATCAACCAAAGTTTGACCCGTATTCAGGGCTTTGATCAACCAAAGTTTGACCCGTATTCAGGGCTTTTGTGATGACAGCTTACTTACATTGATGGTTGACAATAGCAGTGTGTATCAGGGAATCAATTGAAAGTCATCAAAGACTGCTGTAAAGTATCTTGATTAAACTCGTTATGCATGGATTGAACACACTTTGAAATCAAAACATAAAGTCCAAGGTAGAGTAGCCATATTAATGCCCTTCATTCCGTATTTTGGAAATTAAAAGCTGAAACATAACATTTAATAGTTCCTGTCAGCTCTGAGCATTCATTTATAAGCATGGCAACACATATGTCTGGTCTCCAATCACCATGTAGGAGTGTTATCAAGAATATAAGTTAAGGAACCAAACTTTGTCAGAATGTTTGTCTGCTACCCAAAGAAAAATAAATGACCGTAATTTTGAATGACTTAATTCTTACAAGAATTGTCCAATGGAAGCTATGCATTTAGTGATGAATATTTATGAGGTATCATACTGAGATGTTATTTCTCTTATGTTGCATGTTCAGGGGATGCTAATCACATGACTGCACCATGTGACGATGGTGAAGGAGCAGAACTTTGTATGAGAGCAGCCCTGAGGGATGCTGGGATGTCTGTGGCTAGTGTTACGTATATCAATGCGCATGCAACTTCCACACCACTTGGTAAAGAATCAACCCACAAAATGCTGGGATGTTAGGTTGCGTTCATTATTCATCTTTGCAATGGAAAATTCCTTCCGTGAAACATAATTGACTGCAGAATGTGGTATGGATTCTGGCATACCTACATTGATAATTGACAGATTGTCTCCACTAAATCACGTGACCTATAGTAGGTATCAACCACATAGCAACAGGTGTTTTGAGTGTTCTTCACCAACAATACAGCCAAGTTATGGTATAGTACCCAGCACATCAGTAGTCTGCATACAGTACCTGTCGTTGGCTTTATTTTTGATAAATGATACTTACAAAACACTTGATTTTGGTGGACGCAGTGTTTGTTGATCACATGACATACATGTACTGGGCGTGTTTTTAATAGGCTTGTGGATGTTTATGGAAAAAGGGCACGACGGCCAAGGTAAATATAGGGCAAGGCAATTTTTTGTGGGGCACCTTGACCAGTGGGAAAGGCACAGACGGCACTGGCCGTCGTCCATCTCCAGGCCTGTAATATCGCACAGAGAACCCCGTTGCCAAGCATGGTTTAATTGCACATACATGTATTTATATGGTACCCTGTGGCTGTTACTTGTTCATTCCCTTCCGTTGCTCACTTTTGCCGTCCAGACTGTCAGCAGTTGATTTGTTGCATGTGGTACCCTGTGGCTGTTACATGTTCATTCCGTTCAGTTGCTCACTGATGCTGTCCAAACTGTCAACGGTTCATTTGTTGCATGTGGTACCCTGTGGCTGTTACATGTTCATTCCCTTCAGTTGCTCACTGATGCTGTCCAGACAGTCAACAGTTGCTTTGTTGCATTAGCTAGTAAATATCAGTCTGTTCAGATCACAGTGAGAGGGCCTTTTGTGTATTTGGATCATATTCATTCCAAGTAGAGGCAGAATCCAATCCAGTCTGAATATCCTTATGGTAGGCAGTCAAAGTGTCAGTGGTTTGAGGCTGTTGTTACCCCTGCTCATCAGGCTTATTAACATTCCACAGATAATCTCACTGTGTTGGGGAGTATACAGATTAATGCAACCGTTTGCTGTCATTGATATTCATGTATCATACAGCACACTACATTCCACACTATCAATGTCAATCTTATTGCGCAGGGGATGCAGCAGAGAACGAAGCCATCAAGAGATTGTTCCTGACCCAGACGAACCATGTAGCAGTGTCATCAACCAAAGGTGCTACTGGTCATCTGCTAGGTGCTGCTGGGTCACTGGAGGCCGTCTTTACCATCATGGCTTGCAAAATGGTCAGTAAGTCATATTCAAGTAGTCTTCTGCATGTACAAAAATAAATGCCAAATCCATGGCTTCAATTTTGAAAGTAGCAAAGTAGCAAAGTTTAATGTTCACGGTGTAAGCACAGCAAAAGGCAACTGTGAGTGACAACTATAGCTGACTGTAGTTTGACCAACACCACCCAAGTGATGGATGGTTTGGACCATCTAGTTCACCATTTGGAATCCAGGCCCCGGGGGCATGTTTTTTTATATGGCATTTGATATCATGGAAATTGTCTTATTTTCATTTGTGAAAATGACAGCGTTGAAGTTGAGACATTTCTTTGCATGTACAAGTGTGAGCACATCCACATGTAAGTTGGGAGCTTGATTAAAGAAGCAGTTATCCTACTACGGCTTTGGCTTTCTGTAAATCCAAACTCAGACAATTTGTCTCCTTATAATGACTGTATTGGGTGCATGCCATATGACTGAGCGCTATGTTACATCCAATTAGAGCAAAAATAGGCAGTTAACTTTTTGTGTCAATTTACATTTTAGACTTTAAATTAAGAGAGTAAGAACTGCACTGTAAATCGGAAGTAAGAGGTTTTCTTTGTTTATCAATTCTTGTGCATTGTTATCACCTATAAATATCTCCAGTTAATTGGGAACTACCGGTGAGGAAATGCTCTACAGATGTGACTGGATCTTACAAAATCTGTCCCAAGGCCATTCTTTCCCATTAATTTGTTTTAGTGTCTTCGGATATAGCAGGCTGCTTGCTTGCATCTTTCAGTTTAACATTCTGATGACCAACGGCTTTGTGTTGTTGAAAAATGTTTACTTTGTGAAAGAATCTTTCACAGACTTTAACTCAAAAATGGCTGTGGTGACTTGTGACATTTTGTTTGGTTGGGTCACATTTGTAGTGTTCGTTCCTAAAACTCCAACACCTTTCATTTTTTTAAAAACAAGAAGCTCTTTTGATCCACAGAGAAATAGCTTCTCAAACAGGTGTGAATTTTGCCAAACCTTGGGCTTAGTGTTGTTTTTGTGAATGTAGTTGAATCAGTTCTTTGTGTGTTTTGTTCCCCAGAAAACTCTCCCACCGACAATAAATCTGTCTTCAACGACTGAAGGGTTTGAGTTGAACTATGTGCCACATCGTGCTCAGTCATGGATTCTGGCGGATGCTAACAGGAGAGTAGCTCTGACAAACTCATTTGGTTTTGGCGGCACAAATGCCAGCTTGTGCATTGCTGAGTATATCAAATCCTGAAACGACTTTGAAATTGAACAGGCAATATTGGAGGACAGGCATAGCTCTTGGGAATAGAAAATGCAAGATGAAAACTGATTTTAGTGTGTTGTGGACTGTCTGTTGAACTGAGAAGAAATCCTGGAGATCCTACAAGAGGGTGTAGGAGACATAGAAGGTGTGTTAGTCGTAAATGAATTGTAGGGAGTGCTATGCTGCTGACTAATCATGTCCCTGAGGCCAACACACCACATTTGACAGCTTGTTTGTACACATTCAGCATGGAGCATGTCCAATATGAAGATATGAAAATATGCACACCCTGGAGGTCACTTAATGGACACTGTATAGACCCTGGCATTGACTTTCAATGTGTCAGGCTAGAGTCTCTTTGTAACCATCGGTGCTCTTATGCTGAGTGATTTGATGTCAAGGATATTCCATGTGAGGCTCTCACATCAGGACAACAGTTGTTCATAAGGGGGCAGGTTCTCAAATCTTGTCTTAGTCTCCATTTCAGGCTTTTGACTGACCTTGAAACACTTTCAGTTATATGCTGATGTTAAAGCACATCAAAAGGCTGCCCTATTTGGCTGACAGGATAGAGTTTAGTGTTTTTCCAGGAAAACTAAAAACTCCAAGTTTTGGGTATGAAAATCAAGCAAAGCAATGTCTGAGATGGAGCAGATATATGATGATTCCCCATCGTTATTTGTAATAAATGCTACCAAAGCTTTCACACCTATTTGGATGTCATGCATTGGGTTTAATTCATTATCATGCTGAATACTACTATTTACAACGATGTGTTCCTGTGAATCATTTATTTTGTTGGTCCAGGCAAGAGCCAATGCAGTAAAACAACACAAAGTCTTTTGAAAATAAAGGCTTGAAGATCTGTACTTTGTCCCAGTGTAAATAACTAGAAAATCTTTTTTTAACTCAAATTTAGACTAAACTATTGGGGGCTTACAACATTTATTCTGCATTCGTATCTGCAGTTGCCCTCATTTTGGAATGACACACTTTCTTCCTCTGTATAGTGCAGTATGCATTTGATCAAACCGAAAGAAAAGATACATTGACCTCTTGCAAACCTTCCAGGTGACTGGGTAAAAAATTATGGTTTCATCCAGTGAACTTGGTTCCTCCAAAGGGGCTTGACCATTTCTTAAACCTCTCAGTTTTTAACAACAATTTGGAAGTTGTTCTTTGAAGTTACTACTACATGTAGTTTCTTAAATATGAGAAAAAGTCCCCCATACAACCTGTGCTCTCAAAAGTATTGTCAAAATGTAATCTTTTTCTTAAAGACATCTTTATCACTTTTTAATTTCTTTAAAGTAATTTTCCATTAATCTTCCATTTACGTGAAAATAAAAACGAAACAGTATTTACAATAATTATGCTAAAAAGCACTTGTCATCCAAGAAGGCAATGAAGCATTGCCAAGGAGTTTAATGTCAGGAATGTATCTCTTCTTGCGCCCAGTGATCGTACGGGTATTGTCTGGTGGGGCGCCTCCATCGAAATGACTCACCTAACCAGTGAAAATAACAGAGCATCAAAGTAAGCAGACAGAACAGAGTCGACTCCACAACGTTCACACCTGCAACGCTTGTGTTATTTACTTTTGTAAGGAGCCTATGGTAGCTTTAGGTTTGATGTGTCTGTTTAAATTCTCTTGTGTAATGCGCATCAATGCGCGGAAAGGGGCGTGTGTTTTCCATTCCTTCTGTGATTCATGGTTCTTTTTTCCCCTGTATTTAAAGGGAACTGAATTTGAGAGCGAGCAACTTAATATTTTCATTAAAAAACTGGCACCCCTAAACGATGTGTAACCATGATTGGAGAAACAAATTGTTTCGGGTGTGCTCAAGCAGGTTCATTCAAGTCTTGCATCGCTACATAATTGTGGCAAATAAACAGCGCCCCCTCCGTATGCCTTATTTAAAGTTAGTAGACCTCCAGCCTGGCGAACCAACCTCACGGTCTTGAACTACCAGCAGTTGGGCATGAACATCAAGGAGCGTAAATTGGACTGACCAAATGACACCGAGACTGGACACTCTGAATCAGTTTGGAAAGCATGAGTAAGAACCAAAGATGTGTCTGCCGCTGCGCCTGTGCATTAAAGTGCATTGCGCAGGCGTATCGCTTGCTCAAATGGCGCCCAAGCGATTACAACGTTTTACGTGTATTTACGGTGAAGTTCGCCATCTTGCGCCGCTTCGCGGTGCTATACGATCTTTGGTAAGAACTGAGCTCCCATGACACTTTGGCTGGAGAATATGACTCTTTCCCAAACTGAAATTGGGATTGTATTTCTTCACCACAGAGATAAGTGTATGCTTACTTGAAGCGTTGTCTGTGGGGCGCTTTCTACTTGGCGTCGTCTTGGCCGACGCGGAAGACAACTCTTGCCGACCGGGACAGCATCTCCAGGCTGAGGCTCACACAGTGTGAAACCTTCGTCTTAACAAGGTAAATAGAAAAGACTCTATTTTCTCTCCAGTTTTAAGAAATGGTGATGTCATTTTACAAGTATGACGTCGATGTCGGCACCTTTAACTTCAGATACTGTCGGGGACACTTTGTCCACAAATCCTTCGATGATATTATAACGTGCTTTATTCGTTAAAAATGGCAACCTGAAGTGAAATCGACTCCCCAAACCTTTTTGTCGAAAGAAAATAAAAGCAGGACGCTAGGACTTAAATTTGGGTGTGGATAACGAACGCCGAGCCGATTGGAATTGGAGCAGAGGGACAGTATGAAGCACACTGGGAATGATTCGCATTCTAACCCGGATAAAGGGAGCGCCTGTTTTGAACACGGGAAACGTTTTTCGGTATTCACCACAACCAACCACTGGGCATTACATGTGTAAGGATTAGTTATTTGTAAATAATATTTAGACATATTGCGTCTATTTTGAGTTTATTGCATGCTTGATCTTTTGTAAAACCAGAAGGCAGCTTTCTGCATTTTAATCGACATTAATCACCCAGAGACAATTTTCCTTTTGATATAAGACTCAAAATTGGAAAATAGTTTTGATAGTGAATTCAGATAGGAAAAATGAATGCATTTAAAATTTAATTGGTCATTACAGTAGAAAAACGGAATAGGGAGTTCGTTGCATGATACCACTTTGTGTTGAGTCTGCGTTGTTGTTCTTTGTTGTATTATTTCTTTTATATTTACAATTTATCTTTCAGAAACAAAGCGAAATCCCGACACACTGTAATCATCGTTATAATAAGTTCAGCATCTACATTTTACACGACTGTAACCAAGGTATGAACTGTTTCGAGTGAAATCCATTCTTGTATGGTTTGGAAAGCGCTTGTGTGCACAATTGGACCATGGAGGAAGGACACAGAAGGAGTTTGAACTACCCAGTCTATAACATCTGGCATGCGTGGTATGTCCATAGCCAGAGCGCCGCAGCGAACGCTTGCTATGCACCATCTGGTTCACAACCACGAAACCCCTTTGTACCCTCTGATCGCCACCGCAATTTGTTGCTGGTAATCTGCATCCTTAAAACGGCGTGTACTGAGGTATTGGAAATTGAATATCTATGCCTTTGTTGGTGCTTGGTATCATCTCAGGACATCATCAAATTTAATGCTTGAACAGTTGCATTATTGTACACTTTGAAGTGCCCGAGTTCCAACTTACCGTGTTCTTCCTCTATGGTTGGACACATTCCGAAGAGTACTCTTTATTTTTTTGTACGTGTAATTCACAAACAAAAGGACGTACCGTATGTCCTAGGAACAATTTTTCTTCTTCGCGGCACGTAAGAGAATGGACTAGAAGTTGTCATCATGGTTGTATGCTAAAGAGGAAAAAATGAAAATAGCATTATATTACTAGCCTAAAGGTAGTTCTCTTTGTGTCCGCTGTAATGCTTTTGACTATCAGCAGGTTCGTTTGTTAATAATTAATGTAACCGGATAATTTCTTGTCATTTCTAGAAAGCTCGCGATAATAGAAAGTGAAATACATGTACATTGTTTCGACAATACAAATTCAATACGGGCGATTCACAACAGTGCGCTTCCAAGAGTTTGCAACGCGTTGGCCAATCACTGTGACGCGCGAAAACTGTCGACCCCTTCAAACGCACATTGAGACGACAGATTTCGCGCACTGTGGTTGGTCAACACGTCGCAAACTCCTGGAGGTGCAGAAATGTAAAATGCCCGTATTACTCGATGTATTTGCTCGGCTGGTAATTATTTAATTTTGAACAGCTTAAAAACACAAACACGTTTTTGGTTTAATAGTATTGGGCTAATTAACGTATGTGTATACATTATGAATTTAAAACCGTTTGGTGATTTAAAGATCGCAGTTATTAAGTACCTTGTGACACGCGGGTAGAAGTCGTTCTGGTTCCAATTCCGGCTCAGGAGAAGTTGGTACTTAATGAAAAAATGCATCAAAGAGCATCGTGGTTATATTTACTGTCACGGGTGAATGACATAATCGATGCTGTACACCTTCTCTTGTCCATAATGAAGCAAGATATAGGACGGACAGCACCCCCCAACTATGTGTTGGTCATTGTTTGATCGGAATCTAAGGAATTCTTTACAGATATCTAAGGGGATGTGTTAGGTAACAATAGTCTAAAGTGTGTATAGGGATTGGTGTGGGTGCGTTTGTGTTTGCCAAAATACACACCTTCAAACCGGGGACACCCAAGAATCGGGGACGTCCCGGATTAAAATCAATATATTTTCAGGGAAAAAATGATCAAATGAGGGCGCTGTAAGTGCGTGTGTGTGGGTACCCCTACGTCCCATATCTTGCTGGGTATACTCTTGTCAGTTTTCTTTCTTACGTGACCAATAGGCACATGCATGTCTCGGGTTGTTTGCAGCTTTAGAAGTAATGTTTACAAACAGGGAGTATGATTTTTACGCGTTCTTAAAAAATACAAACTTAATGGATTTGGACAGAGCTGTTACTATAATTGAACTTCTGGCTCACCGAAATTGCTCATTTTAAATATATTGAAAGAGATAGGATCTTTGATTTCATATAGGTAGGCATTTGTTTTATTCGAATTTTTTTTCTAGTGACCCGTGTTGCCCGTTGCAGCTGTTCACATTCTACCTGTCTTGGTTTAACGTGCGGCTGTAACTTGACAAAAATTTCAAAATGATCGGTGCAATACCAGCTTTACCAGACGGGTTGTTTCCAAGCCTCCTCCTGTGTCATCTCTTTTTGTCTCAAGAATCATTAGGTGAGTTTTTATCACATGACTAATTCGCGCGATTCATAGTAGTCCGCCTCAAAGATTTTGCTACGCGTTGGCCATCAAAACGCACGAATATGTCAACCTTTCCATACGCGCACTGGGTCGATAGATTTCAGGCATACATGTACTGATTGGCCAACGCGTTGCAAACTCTTGGAGGCGCACTATTGTGAATCGCCTGTATTGAACTTGAGACTTTTCACACTAACCAATGCCACATGCAGCAATCTTTTTAGAAGGATTGCACCCAAAGCGTGTAGACCTGATCAAACGAACGGGACTTTCCCTTGTAGGATAATGCGCTCTCATGGAAGAAATCATGGTGTGTGTGGCGCCCTCCTCGCCAGACTGCGCAATAATTGTCCTAACTGTGCACACAGGCTACACATAAAAAATGAAATCGTACACAGATAACCTGTAAGATTCATGCATGGAACATTCATGGATTTAACTATCTAAACTTCTATCTAGAGTACATGAAGTGAAAATAATATAATTGAAATTAAATGATTTGGGAATACCTATGTACAATTTAAAAAATGCAATTGATGCACCCGGGTGGACTAACTGCGGTATGTCAAAGTGTCACTTTCTCTGTATACTAGAATGCAGTATTTATCAATTCTACACTAATGATCTGTTTCTTTTCTTCATGAGTGACATAAGGACCTTAGTCGGGTCTGTATATGATTTCCCGATCCGATATGGCCTTTAGTGTTTTCCGTACACCCTGTACATCTTTGTTGATGAATAGTGGCGCATCCACTTAACACTTTTAGTGAAAAGGGGACAAGTATCGCGACGTTTTTGACCCTTGCTCATCCACAATATCAAACAAACTATCAAGGCTGCCTATTCCGATCCCTCAAAATAATGTGTTTCAGGTGGATCTCGGCCAGTTCTCGCTGTTTTTGAATTGTGTAGCCAATTTCTCAGAACTTGCTGACGGCAACTAGCTGCTATGCATCTATCATATCGATTAAAAGGCCTACCTCATTGGTGAGTCTCCTTAAATGTGCTAAGTGAGAAGGATGGGGGTTATTCTTTCGATTGTCCGGTATTGGTAGATCGACTCGCCCCGCATGGCTGCCTAGTGGTTTTTTGGTGAAGTCAGTTGCGTAGTTACTGACATTATGACGCCATTCAGGGTTAACATCTCCCAAAACTCTGCCAGAAATGAAACCATAGTCACTTAAAAAATGCCTCAAAAGCTTCAGATTTATTATTACATCGTGTGTGGAATCTTTAAACAATGTAATGAAAGAGTAGAAAGACATACTGGGTTTCAGAAGCTCATCGAATAAAGCTACTTCGACTGACAGACAAGAAACCGCCCAGAATTTGGGAATATTGCCAACCTTCAAATTCTTCTCTCGGATGCAATTTCCCTTATGGAACAACCACAGATGATGTTATGTGGTCAAACATGGATAAGTGAGATAAGAGACGCGATATTCTGAAACATTTTGGGAAAGTTTGGCGAGTTTTTTAATTACCTGAATATGTCGTTTTCTTTCCAACATTTGAAAGGTTCTGAAGATGGACGCCGACTTGCTAGATTTTAAGCACCGAAAGCATAAAATATACACCCAAAAGAACGCAAAATTGGGAGGAGTAACAGAGCTAAACTATACATGTAGCAACAAACCTTCTCCTTGTATTCACCACAGTGGCGTGCACTTTGGCTGTTTCAGTTGACATCATAGGAAAGATAGCTTCCTGAGATTTTAGGGCTTATTTTCTAATCTAAGGTCCCCCGCTAATGTATCGTGTACCCCCAAGCATGTCTTCTGTCTAACAGAAAGCACAACGATTCATGTCTGTGTGTTTTTAAAACCATGGTTGCGTGTGAGCGAAATATTAAATTGTTATTATTGTGACGTTACAACCAGTGTGTGGTATCGTCAAGAAATAGCAGGCAAAATGGGCTATCACCAAAACTTCAAGTAGGCAATTTTCTACCTGCGCATAGGTCCGGTCATTCTAGTGGTAAGAGCCTACTATATTCCAAACTTCAACGCATTTTGTACATTTTCTTTTTCTGTGGTGCCTGTCGTAAGTGGAAATCCGATACCTAACTGTGACGTCACGGAGTCCAGAGCATGCATGGCTCAGAACCAAACAAATGCCACGCATATCGACGAGAATACTTGGAACGTTGCATCCAGGGGGAATGAACGTGGATTTTTCCGCGTTCATTTAGAACTGAATCTGTTTGCCCTGAAGAAGGTACTCAGTTGCCGAAAGCTCGGCAATCACATATTTCAGAGCCCTGATTTTATATTATATTCTCGTCGATATTTTGATCACGGTGCTACACAGCCCTTCCATATTCCATGCATACTCATGTTAGACACGTGATGATAAAGGTTTATTACCATAGAATACTGAAGTGTGACGTCACTGTGAACCAGAAAGTGCAGTGCAAACGAATGGAGTGCGCGCACGTGTTGGTTGACGCGCCGGTTCCCTCGCTTTTAGCCTTTTGCACACGTAACTATGTGATGTACTTACTTCGGTATTGTGACGTCACTTCAGTTTAAACCACGCCCACTGCACACTGCACACTGATCGCCGTTTACATGGAACATTGATCTCCATTATCAATGACATGGAACCATGGAACCAGAAGTTAACGTGCAAAGTTAACGTGCGATTCTCCAATGAGAGCCTGCAAATCGTGGCGCGTCCGCCTTTGTGACGAAGTCACTTAAGAACCGGATACTGGCTCATAAGTGTGACGTCACTTCAGTTTAAACCAGGCCCACTGCACATTCACTGCACATAGAATTACATGCATTGATCGCCGTTTACATGGAACCGGCAGTTACCGCACAACTTCAGAGATCGTCCAATGAGAGCCTGCAAATCGTGGCGCGTCCGCCTTACCTAGCCCTTCCATATTTTACCGGATACAATCTTCCCTTGTTTCACATTTTAAGAACATGATGTCATTAACTGCGTCGTATAAAATACATGTACGCGCTAATCCGTTATAAAGACTAAATTATGAATAGTCTAACGGGGTACCATCGCTAAGAGTGCTCTCTCTCACTGAGCCAAAGGATGGAAATGTGTAACTTAATAGTGTGTTTCTTGACTGCTAAGCTTTCAGAGCAGCCTTGATCTAATTCATTAATTAATTCGACATTTATTTTTCCCGCTTTTCCCCGGCTCGAGCGTGTTTGTTAGTCATTTCTGAATTAGGTGCATAAATTCCCATAGACAGCAGTGATAAATCCCCATACTTCACAAATATTTTGAAAATACTCACAACTCCCACAGGTGTTCAGGCTGTACAGAAAAATGATGTTACACATGTCCCCTTTAATTTCCCTTTCAATTTTTGGGGGGTTGACCAATTAATTTTTGAGACATTTTCACCAGAAGCAGACCACCCTTACGATGAAGAAAATGTCCCTGTCCAGAAAAGTAGCCATCTTGAAAAACCATCCCTCTGCAAAATGGCTAAAATAGTGCCACTTTTGGACCCGATTGCATCGAAATTGCTCAGAATTGGAAGCCCTTAGTCCGGCCCAGAGTTTCAGTCTCATATTTCTTCAATTCTCCAGTTCCATTGCTTTCAGGACCCTCTAATATCATTTGAGTGTATAACTTTTATTAATGAGCTCGGCAGACATATTTCTGGCCTAAATACAAGGGTGCATCCCTTTATATTGATTAAACGTGGGCGCTGTAATATTTTTCGATAGAGGGCGCTAAATATTTTAAAGTTTGGACTTTGTTTTCAATAGGCAGCGCGCCGGGCATTATTGGTAATTTATTGGCGCGCTCGTGCATGCGGCATGCATTTTACAGGACAAGCAAGACAAACGTTGGAACGTGAGGTAAGCGTTCTTTGTCTGACCTGTCTGAATCTGAATTTAGCATGCCGTAAAGGTGGACTAATTCATGATGAACCCAAATAAAAAAGGCTTCGTAAAGGACGATGTAAATACTAAAAATGTAAAAAAGGCTCATGTCGATCACTTTATCATATTACGAAATGATTGCATGGTCATGGTGAACTGCCAAGGGGCTACGGCTAGGCCTATAATAGCATACTATTACTCATTATTAGCATGACAATGCCCATGCGCGAGAACGCGTGTGTGGCCACGTTGGCGGTTTGTTTAAATGTGACTTCAGAGGAGGCGAGTTCAATAAAGGTAAGAAATGTCATTGGTTAAAAATAGTGGCCCCACAAGTGTTATAGGCATGCAAGCTGGGATCTCAACTAGCTCTGATGAGTGGAGCGTTAGTATGCCCATGGAGGAATAAAACACAAATGTGTTTTATTCCTCCATGGTATGCCCTATTCCTCTTTTTCGATTATGGATGGGATCGTCATAGGAACACTCCATGCCTGTACATAGAGTAAGATGAGTTCTCTAAACTTCCAAAGACTCACCAAAAATACCTCTGTCACCACCTACTGGCTTCCATAAATGCAAAGGTCAAACGGTTGGGTCTTCAATGATATTTCTGACGTTAAAATCTGTCAAAATTCAACTGTTTTGCTCGACAGGCACAAGTATTGACCAGGAAACAGTGGTTGGTAGCACTCCCGAACGTCATGATCAACAAGTCTTGTGCCCTGACTACCTATGGGCCTCTCCTGCAGTTTTCTTGGAGGACCATGTTCGGGGCCCATAGAGTTATTGGCCAGAAACTCTACACACCCGTATTTGAATGCGAGGAGGCAGCGAAAAGTTTAAGTGCTGTGCGTGTGTCAAGCAAAACGGTTGAATTTTGACAGATTTTGAAGTCAGAAATATCATTAAGCCCCAACTGTTTGACGTTGGCATTTACGCAAGCCAGTAGGTGGTGATAGATGTATGTTGGTGAGTCTTTGGAATTTTTTAGGGTTGTAGGTCAACTCGACCGTCGACCAACTCGACCATTGAACCAACTCGTCCGTTGACCAACTCGACTTCAAAGTCGAGTCAACTCGACCATTAACCAAATTTTCAGACAAACTCTTTCCTTGCAAAATACATATTAAAAGGGGAAAAATAAAGATCGGATCCAGATCGCGAAAATTATGGATGCTAAGTTCGGCTCAATGAACCCACAAAATCAACTGAAATGCAATCAATAATTGAACTTGTGCTAATGAGATACTCCAAAATATTGTTCCCAATTTGAGAAGAAGCACACACGCATGAACCCCTTGAAATCTGTCACCACACTGTGCGCATGCACAGATCACATCAAGCACAGTAAAACAAATTGAACGCGCTATCCAGAACTAGGAAAAATGCATTCCTTCTATGCCCTGTCCCTATTGCACTGTTTGCACGGTCGAGTTGGTTGAGAGTCGAGTTGGTCGACTGCTATGTGCATTTATTTCAGCTAGAGCACAAGCTGCTGATAAGTCGTTGCTTACAGGACGACCAGCTTCTTGGCATTTCTTGATGATGATGGCCACTGTTGTTAAGGTGATTGTACTGTGATCTCTTACTGTAGCCTTCTTGGTAAAACGTGAGTGATTCTTTGTTATTGGTCATCCCAAAGGTAGGATTCACTGATTGAGTCTCCTGTGAACTCATTGCCTCATGTCCTGTAGACCTAGTACATTAAGACCTACCCCACCTTACTGTCTTATAATATAGCGCGTGTAAACAAAGTGTGACTTCATTATGTCTATTTAAGGATCATCCTTGGTGAATAAATTTATTTTGCCCAAATGCCGGGTGACATGTATATGGGGAGCTATTAAAGTTAAAATGGTCCCCAAAATCCTCTGATTTTATTATGATCTCACATGCACTCTTGGAGGTAACGGTTAATACTGTTTATAATTTGGGAATGTTTTTTGCACAGACTGTGATCTCCTGTATTAGCCTTTAGTTGGACCGAGAGAGAACACTTTTTCCTTGGCATCAGAGGCTCCTTTGTTACTAACTGTGCATCACTGGTTCATGAACGACGAGGACATGGTAGTATAGCCCAATCGCTAACAACAAAATGATTACTCCCAACCAACACGGCTCTTTTCAACCAATTTAGTTGTGCTTCTACTCAAGGCAGATTGAAGAGATTGCTTGGCTGAAAAAACAGGTGGGATTGTTTAAATATACCGCCAGATCAACACTCTTTGTTTTGCAGGCTTGCATCTGTAGATGGCTGAAAACAAATAAGAAGTGCAAAAAAAGTGGAGGGATGTAATATGTTAAATTGCTGCTTACAGGCTTGAGGAAAAGGCCTTTTTGGGAAGTGTACATGTATTTAAGGTGTTTTGAAAAATAAAATATACTTAGCTAGACAAGCAACAATTGAAAAGAAATGGAATAATGACAACTAAGAAGATAATAAGATTTATATGAGAAACTCCAGTGATGTGGGCTTGTATATTATTTGGCCCCGATCTTTGTTGATTTGACACTGCTTTCAATGATGCTTCAATTACTGTTGTAAAGTGCAACCTATATATTTTGAAATTGTGGCCTCCACGTGTGTGCAGTAATACAGATTGGAATTCAAACATGGTTTAGTTTCCCTAGTTTCAGTAGTTTGACAGAGAGACAAGAGCAAGCTAGTCCCTGGAGGCCGTTCTCTGGAGTGTAACAAATCAGAGATATCTTATCTTTGGTGACACTACTCAACAGGTATGGAAACAGTCTGCATCATTTTCTGATATTAGTCCATGGTTATGCTAATAGTGAAATGCCTGGTTGTTTTGTAGATCTTGACCTTGGGTTTTTGTCTTTTAAGTTTTCAACTAATGAGAATCTCCGGCCTTTAAGTTTGGGTTGAATTAAACTACAAAAAATGGATAGAATTATTGGGTATGGTTGTACAATTTGTGCCCAAGTGAGCAGAAACAAGACAGAAGCTGCATCTACGGGCTGCTTGTAGTGAATGAGGAGTGTACTGAAATGAAATGTCCTCATTCCTGGATCCAAATCACATACAAGGATGAGTGTACACATTCCACAAAGGTTGTTTAAAAAAATCTGGACTTGTTTTATTTTTATTAGCCAACTGTTTACTCACTGAAGCCATCTTTCTGTGTCAAATACATTATAGGTGCAATGCATCAGGTTGTTACAATATGGCATGCTAGCCCAGAGTTGGTATAATTTGCTCTTTGCACGCTGCCGCCCCAGGCATGCAGAATCTCAATCTTGATCTTTACAAAATCGGTTCAGCGATTTCCATGTATGTTACTTGGTCATTCTGCGCATGCTGTGTCGGATCTTATACCGTACGATTGGACAATATTTCAGAAGCTGCGTTGATGCAATTGTGATGCAATTGTACAAACTGCCAGATCGAGGCTCTCCATATGGTGGCAGCATGCAGAATGAATAACACTGTGTGTCCAGAGTTTCTTCCATGATATCCTTAACACAGGCTGGCTTCTATCATACACACCAAGGATTCAACATTGGCTGGGTAGTATGATGTAAGCCATCTTGACCATAATTCTTTGGTGTCAATTTCAATCACATCTATCTGGAACCACATGCCTGGAAGAAGGTCGTTGGGGAAAAACTTTGTTTCTCTACCTTTGTCAATCCTCCACTGCCATCTTATAATCAGTGAATTCAGGCTAATACACTCATGCTGTATTGTCATTTCTTCCTTTTACATGTTTAAATGACTGTTTTGTGTATCCATTGTAGTCAGAGCACAAGCCACTCATGGTACATCCAGTTTCTTGATGATGGAGTTCCTGCGCTCATTGTTGAGGTGATTGGTACTTTGATCTCTTGCTGTTGCCTTCTAGGTAAAAGGTGAGTGGGTCCATCATTGTTGGTCATTCCAAAGGTATAATTCACTGATTGAGTCTCCTGTGAACTTATTCCATACTTTTTTTTTGTAATGCCCAGCAGCTCAGTCTTTTGTGCCGAACATGGTCTTTTGTTCCAATCCCAGTTCTTGCGGATTTGCGTATAAAGCGTATGTTAATACCATTGATAAACTTGGGATGGTAGGTAAAACGTGAAATATCAGAGAGTTTTTGGCCCATCCCCCATGTATGCAAAATCGTATTGAATTTGGAGGATTTTGGACTGTCTTAATTTTCTATTCTCTGGGGCTGTTAAAAGAGCCCAAGAAAGTAGAGGGGGTGTCAGTTGTAAAGTGGCTGCTTCAAGGCTTGAGAAATATAACTTTTCAGGAAATATGTTTGCTGACCAACCAATAATTGAAGAAAGTTGAAACAAAGGTCAACACGAAAATGAGAGTTTTATATAAAAACATCCCAGTGATGTCTACTTGTATGCTATTTGGCCCTGATCTTTGTTGACTTGACTCTATGGTTTTATTAGCTGTAGCATTGATGCAGAGACAAGACC